TTAAAGAAATTCTGATCTTTTTTACCAAACAGTAGCATTATCTAGTGCTTAAATAAAATTAAAATTCAATAAGATTAGACACATCCATGTTTGCCACATTCTGGAGTGTTCAATATAGCATGTTCTTCGCCAGTGTGGTGGCATCTGCCTGTAATCCCATCACTTGGAGGCTGAGGCAGGATGATTGCTGCAGGTTCGAGACCGGTCTGGGCTACATAGTGAATTCAAGGCCAGCTTGAACTACATAGCGACACCCTGTCTCAAACAAAAAAAGTCCTATTTTGAGAAAATATTCACAAATTTCTCTTTTGTACAGTTGGTTTTTAAGCTGTTTGATAACTTTGATTAAAAACGTAGCCTTAGGAGATATCCTTTAATTTGAAAAATTTATTATTGATTTGAAAACTTGTTTAATTTTTCTACACTTTTTAGTGAGTCAGTTTAACAATAGAAGCAAAACTGTAAGAATGCCAACATTCAATGCAAGAATGTTGGTAGAGTGTATAGAGAAATCAGTATGAACACAAATTGGCAATAGTATTTTCCTTTGCTTTTAAACGCAGAATAAGAAAGAGCAAACACAGGTAATAGCCCTTTACAGTACATCATAGTTGCTGATATATTTATAAAATTGATATTTTTGATGAATTATAATCCCACTAATTGAGACCTGAACAGGAAGTTTAGTAAAAAAAAAAAAAAAATGGCCAAACGTGTATAGAAACTTCATATGTGCCTTATTTTACAGTTTTGCCACCCAAACAGTAGAGACTAAATAGAGAAAGTAAACACACACACACACACACACACACACACACACACACAGAACTTGTAGTTTTCGGTTCTTAGGTGATGAGATGACAAAATGAACGCAAATAGTTTCATGGAAATACTACTTCCATTCACTAATATTTACTTGTGAATTACCCAGTTCTCAACCTTTCAGGATGCAGTGCTGTCTACTTAAACTTAAAATGTACGAAGTGTGTTTGTTTTTGCATAGTAAAACTTACATAGACCGAAACTCATCAATTCTAAGGTAATAAATCGCTGAATTTCGACAGAAGTAGGCACTGTCATAACACCCATTGCTACCAAGAATATTGTCATCGTTTCCAAATATATCAGGGGCACTTTTTTTTTTATTGCTCTTTAGCTTTTTCTCTTGTGTTTCATAGACGAGGAATTTTTATCTCCTACTTTAGTTGGTATATAGGGGCAGTCTCACTGTGGTTGTAAGTTTGCATTACCCTGACAAGCAGTGAATGCTGAGCATGTTTTCCTGTGCCCTCTTTATGTCTTCCTTTGTGAACTCATTCTTTTGCCTACTTTTTAAAAAAACTAGATTGTTTATATGGATTCTGTATATAAATCCTTCAGATACAGGTTGAGTATTTTGTCTGAAATGCTGGGACTCAGAGTGTTTCAAATTTTGGAGTTTTCAGATTTGAAGCATTTGGATTTCAGATTTTCAGCTTGGGGTGCTCAACCTGTGTATGTTTTAAAAACATGCTTTCCTTATCTGTAGCTTACCTATTTATTTCCTTATGTTATCATTTGAAGAACAGAAATTACTATTCTTTTCTCCTAGAGTAATTGCTTTTGTTTCTTATCTACCAAGTCACAAAGATTATATCCTTTGTTTTCTTCCCGGAGCTTCATAGTTTTATCTTTTGTTTTGAGATATGTGAACTGCCTGGGATTATTTTTTTTTCCTTTGAGACAGGGCTTCACGGTGCAGTTCAGGCTGGCCTTTAACTCACCTTGTAGCCCAGCTTGGCCTTGCCACAGGTGTGTGCCATCGTGCCTGGCTAAAATGAGTTTTTGTTCAGCCTCAGGGTTGAAATTTTATTATCAGTTTCCAGTTTTCCAGTGCTATTTTTTGAAAATAATTACTGTTCTACGTTAAATTACGTTATCACTATTAAATATATTTTTACAGTGTAGATTTTTTTGGAACTTGGTATTCTGTTCTCTTAAGCTGTGTTTTTTTTCCTGTGGCAGTGGCGGTGTCCTGACTCCTGAGGCTTTATAGTAAGCTGTTTTGATATTCTTGATCCTGTGCGTTTTCCTGTTAGAAGTAGTTTATTTTCAGGAGGAAGGTAGGAAGGAATGAAGGACGGAAGGAAGGAGATGAGTAGGCCTGAATGTGACACCGAATGCACAGGCAGCAGCAACAAAACTAAGTTGGACTTCATTCAAAACTAAGAAGTTTTTTTTTTCTCATACACACTAAACACAGAGTGGTAAATTTTGTGATACGCATTTTAGCACAAGCTTTGGCTTTTTGTTGTTGTTGTTTTTGGTACAGGGAATTGAACTCAGGACCTTGCACTTGCCAGGCAGGCGCTGTGCCACTAAGTTATATCCCTGGTCCCTAGCACAGGTTTTTAAAAAGAACACAAGCAAACAAACATGAAGCAGATGGGATTAGAGGGTCGTGGTAGGCTTTGTATTCAGTTGCATGGTGAATTTTGAGAGTATGAAAATGTCAATACATAGTCTTCCCATCCGTACATTTAGTGTACCTTTCCATTTATTCAGATACTTGATAGGGTTTAGCTTTTATTCATATTTTCGTAATTGTTTAGTTTCTAACTGTGTTTTTAACATACCTTTGTATTACATGTGTTACATGTAAGTATTAATGTTTTTGGAAGTAACTGCATAGTTCATTTTTAATATTTTCTTATTGTTTATGCTAGAGTCAAGACCTGCAAGGTGGTTAATTGTGGAAGGAAGCCAAGTTTGAGAACAGGAAGTCTTTATTATGGCAGTGTAATATAGTGGTATAAACCGGGGCCAAACAACAAAGGTTGCTTGCTCCCGAGTGCTGCCCCGCCCCGCCCACCCTGTCCTGCACAGCACGGGGCAGGAGTCAGGCAGGTCAGCGCAGGCACTGGAAGGGCAGCCTGACTTGCACACTCGTGCACAGGTGTTAGTGTGCAAAGGGGGAGATTGATCTATCTTCCCTGCTGAGGGCTTGCCAAACAGTGGTTCCCTGTTCTAAGGAGCCAGGGGCTGAGTAAGGGAAAGCGGGAAGGGATGGGAAGTGGGAAACCAGAGTCAGGGTGAGAAAAGCGGTTTAATTCTCCTCACTGAGGGGGACTGGTGCCGGAGGCCTGCGTGGTGTCGCCGGTGAGCTTGGCCTCACTAGTACCCGCCCCTCTCCCGGGAAGGCCTTGAAAGTTAAATCAACACTACAGTCCTGGGATTAACTTTTCCTGTTAGGATGTGCTGCCTCTTTTATATATCTTTGGTTTTTCTTTGTTAACATTATGAGGAGGATTTTACATCTTTGTGAAAGTATTGTTCTGTTAATTTTTTTTTTTCCTAAACAGTCTTCATCAGGGAATGCTAGGTAATACTAACCTTCTGAAAGGGGATGAAATGTGTTTTTAATCTTTAAAAAAATTTCTTTAAAATATTATTTCTTTTTTTAAAAAATTTTGATGGAATCTTCCAATGAAACCATTTGTACTTGGAGTTTTATGGGAAACATTTTAGTAATAAATTCAGTTTTAAAAGAATACAGAGCTATTAAGATTTTTTTTTCTTTCATTTGTATCAGTTTGGTAAGTTGTGTCTTCTCATTAATTTTGAAGTATCTTTGTATATCTTGGGAAGCAGTATTGTTTAGTGAATGGTTAAGTATGGAGATTTCTAACCACTCTGGTTTATTTGAAACTTGTGTGTGTTTCTTGTGAACGCTGACATTATTTTCACTGTGGTTTAATTTCCTTATCTGTAAAATAGCAGTAAAACAATTAGTGCCTGGGTTGTCTAGAGGATTCAGTGAGATGATACACTTGAAGTAAAGAAAGCTTGGGGGAGTAGTAAAAGTTTCACATGTACAAATAGGAATAGACTAAAACACATAATGCTTATAATACATGAGGTATTTTGTGTGTACGTGTTAAATCACATAGCTACCCAAAGAAGTAGTATCATTATTATCTTCGCTAATTGATAAGGGAAACCAAGGCATAAATTGTTGACATAAATGGGGAGACTAGTATTTAAATTTGGCGGTTTGGCTCCACGTTCTGTTGTTAAGAGTACGTAATTTATATTTCAGTTCCCTGGTTGGGTAAGACTTCACTTTGATAAATATCTTTGTTATAGGCTAAGTGATGATGTATGTTTTGGATCATATCTGATGTACTTTTTTAATTTATTGGCTTTGTAGGCAGTATTTGATCCTCTTTGAGTCTTTAGTGCTATAATTTTTATTCTCTTTGGTTTTCTTTGATGCTAAACAGACTTATCCTTTGATACTAAATCTTCTATTTATCCTTTATTAAATTGTACACATCATTGAATTACTATGTTTTATATTGAATAAGGATCATAACACTAGAAATGGAATTGCACTGTTTGTAGATAATTATCTCCGGTATATTTGTTTTTCGGGTGAAATTATACCTGTTTAAGATCATTTTAAATTATATTACTGTTTCAGTGGTATATAGACATAGTTAGATTGTATTTGTGTTGTGTGTGTGTGTATATATATATATACACACACATATACACACACATTAAAATGACACATGTAAATAATTTGCTCATCATATATACATGTAATGCTATATATTTATTAAAATTGTTCTTGGGGAAAAGCTGTGATGCCATGTATACTTCTGTTTTGATGAGTAGTTTTAAATGTGATCATCTGTTTACTCTGAGTACTTGTGTAGTCCTTTTCTGTAGAGGAGGAACATACCATCACTCATTTGTAGACTGCAGAAACTGTACACATACAGGCCTAACAATGTAAAACTTTGGAGAGATGTTTAAATCTGTGAGCTTTACAAAAAAGCCACATCACAAATGCTGTACAGTATTTGCATTTTGTGAGTAAAGTGCGTAGAACAGGTAGGTGTGCCTCACATATTTGGTACTGTTGACAGACTGTGATGGAAGGGGTGACTATTGGAGAGGAAGTATTTCTTAAATAAGTGGAACAGGGTAAGACAAGAGACAAAGAATTGCAGTCCTTTAAAATTTAGTAAACTTGTTAAGTGAGAGCATCCTATATTGCAGTCTTCATAAATGAAATGTTAGTTTGTCCTTTGTTTGAGGAGATTTGAACCACTAAGCTGCTTGTCTCTTCCACACACATGAAACACCTAAAATCTCTTGAAGATATAGTCTCAAAGTTGTATAACCTTAGGGTGATTTTGTTCAGGTATTAAAATGCCTGTGTATCTTAGTTAACATTGTAATAATATCATATTTCACTTTATTTACTCATTTTCTAGACATGTGTGTTACTAGTGTAACCCTAATTTTCCACATATGGACAGGTTGGACGAGCATTTTCTTGCTTATTAAGGGACAAGTTCCCTCCCCTTACTTCATCCCTTCTTTTAGACCAACAGTAGTATTCAATATTTATCTTACTAGTGGAAAACAAAAAATAGGCCTCACTTGAAAATATAATAATTAGGAAACATGTGGGAGAAGGCGTAAGGTTAAATCGAGAGGTCGGGCATGGGACTGTAACACAGCGGTAGAGCGCTAGCCTGGCGTGTACGTCACAGAAGAGGCCCAGGACTCAGTTCCCAGCACTGCTGTCAGTCAGTGAATTTGAGGTTGAAACTTTCGGTAAGGGTTTGCAGCAAGTCTGTGTGACTCTGAGGAATGTAGACAACGTCTCTGGGAACTTACCTCATTTATGAAATGAGTAGTGCCTTGGATTGACTTGAAAATTCTCCTTAATTCTCAGATTTCATGATGTTACAGTGCTATAAGAATTTGGAAGAGAAAGAAATTTGGAAATGTAAAATCATCCAGGTATGAGGAACTGTGAATAATTTTTAGAATAAACTGCATAGTGCTACTTTTTATATTATTAACACATAATATTTTCTGTAATTTGGATTTAAATCATATACTTTATAGCCCAAGGCCTCTAAAATATATGTGAGTTAATTATAAGGCAATCACTTTTCATTTATTATTAATTAAGTCTTAAGTTTGTGAGAAATGACTTACAGTAAAAATGTTTTATTTTAATTTGAAAAGTTTATCTTCTTTTTATAAAACAATAAGCTGAACTTCCAAATAAAAATTCCAGATAAACATGACTGTTACCTGTGTATCACATTCCTCATACTTACTTCTTACCACAACTGTTTTTTGTATTTAATAGTGTGAAGTTGCATTTCATTTTTATTCTTAAGAGTAAAAGCGTTTCAAGAAGTAATTACACTTTCCCTAAACGGAAGCTTCCGAGTTAACTTTCTGTTAGGACGTACTTAGTAGCGTTCCTGTGCACCCAGCAGCCTCTCTTGCCAAAGGAGCGTCTTCTAATTCTGTCCTCCGGCAGTGACCTTGTGTTTTATTAAGAAAATACATAATCAGGAATTAAGTTGATATTTTGAGGTGTCTTGATACCTGGCCTCTACCACTACACAGGATGGTCAGTCTAAATCCCAGCGTCCCAGATAACCGCTAAAACCACGGCACTGTGGTTCCCCGAAAATGCCGTAACCCTTCCGATGGCACACTGACTGAGAGAGAAAACCGTGGGAAGTGCCGGCACGGATACGCAGAAGGATGGCTGTGAACCAAGCGAAGATGCCTTCTGGAAGAACAGTAACCTTTTCCTTGGTGTGTGCGTTTCCATACGTTTTGGACACACAGTGCTGCAAAAGAATTTAACGGTGGCATTTTGTTTTGCTGACTTTCCCTTTTCTCATTACAAAGAAACCAGAGTTCGGACAGGAATACTGTGCAGGAGAACAGTGACCAGGCACTGAATTCTTAAGGATCTTTTAAAATATAAATTAATAAGAGTGTTTTAGAAACGTTGTGTCCTTCTTTGACATTGTACATTAATTGTAGCAATAAAAGTCATTCAGGTTATTACATTGTCAGAAATGACGTGCTTTAAAGCGAATGGCTTTGCCCTGTTACCTTCCTCTTTCTCTTTTTTTCTAGCAGCCTTTGATCTTAGACAACGTCAGTACCCGAGAACCCTGTACTGTACAGGTCTAACCTACCTAGCACAGGTAGAAATAGCCCACTTTTTTTGGGACACACATAACTAGAGCAGATTGTAGAAGGAAACCAAGTATGAACAGACTCAGTGATCTAAAAGATGAATTCCTGTTCACTCTGAGAAGGTGCATTTCTATTAGGAAAGATGTCATAATCTCGTCCTACGTAAAAGCTAGTGCAGAGCTTATTTGCACCTATGAAAACGTACCGAGTGAAGCTGGACATAGCCACTTGCCAAAATGCATTTTGTAAGATCTCACAACAGTAGACCTTCGTGCTGTTGTCGATGTGCAGTGTCTGGCATGGACCATGTGACACATCATTTCACAAATCCCTGAGGCTTTATGGTGCATAGCATATTTGTTAATACAGTATTTCACTTTGTAAAAAGTGCCATCAGCCGTAACATTATTCTTTCCTCCCTTAGAATTTTGTAACTTTTCATAGAAGTTGCAAGCTCAGCAGAGGGAATTGCAATTCTCACCCAGTGTGCCTGGCATGTTCCTCTTGACACGACTTGGTACCTCTCAGTAGACTTCGTTACTCTTAGAAACTCTAAGTGTAATTACATTCAAGGGGTGTTTTTGGACAGCAGTAAACCTGCTGCTTTTTCTCCCTCATATCTCAACATAGAAGAGTTTACATTTTGTTTAGGAATCTTTTGTCTTCCTTTTATCTTACTTAACTTTCCTGGAGACGAAATAGCTTCATGAGGATCATATGCATTGTAGATATATATATCTGCGTCCTTTCAACTGCAGGGGGCACAAGGACTTGTTATTGATACGATTAAAGTGTGCTCTGCTGAGCAAGCGCGTTAGAGGCCCATCATGTACACAGTGTGAATTTTGCCTATGGAGGAAATTGCTAAAGCGTAGGGCATTGTATTTCACTCTTTATCGTATTAGATGTTAGGTCTCATCGTCTGCCCCGTTCATTATGCTGCAGTAATGGCGATGGAGGCAGTGTCTCAGAGAGTTGCCATCCTGATTGCTGCTGTGGTTGTGGCCTAAAGTGACAGTGAAAAGTGCAAAAGAAGTACTTGCAGGAAATGTGTAACTCCAGCCTAGAGCGCGCAGCAAGCGTACGGGAAGGTAGCTGTTCCCTCGCGGAAGGAAAGGGCGGGGAGTGACTGTCCTGGAGAACGCGTTGCCAAGGTGAATCACAGACATTGAACATGAAAATGGTGTTTCTGAAGAAGCAGCGCCTTTGCCAGAAGAATACTCCCGAATTAGCATGTTTTGGGTATGATGGTATCCTTCATGGTACTCATTATAATAGTGAAAAATATGTGGAACCGTATAAATACCTTGGCACAAGGGAATGGTTAATGAATTATGGTATAAGTTTCTCTTACTTGATTGCTTTTTTACCGTTAAAAAGAATATTTAAGTTACAGGAAAACCTGCAGTTCAAAAATCCTTTTTTTGCTTAAGATGTATGATCTGTTTTTATAAAAAAATAATTATTTTATTTTGAGTCTTTTGAGTATCTATAAATTATAAGGTTGCCAGGTGCTGTAGTACATACCTGTAATCCTAGCATTTTGGAAGACCGAGGCAGAAGAATTGCAGACTTGAATTCTACTTGGGCAGCTTCGTGATGCTCTGTCTCAGAATAATAAAAGGTAAAAGAGCCGGGCTGGGTATGCAGCTCAGTAGGAATGACCTGGGCTCAATCCGCTTACCACCCCATACTGACTTTTACTGTGGATACCCTAAATTAGGTTAATGAATCCCTGAACTCTTTCTTTACAGTTTCAATACTCATTTTGCACTTTTTACAGATAATGTATCCAAGATAGGTAATTCTGTTTTTAATTCATTCATTTCCTGGCATTCTGTGCCCTTGTGATGTAACCACCTGCCTTCACTTCTGCTTCTCAGGCTTTGTACATCACAAGTACCAGGAGTAACTGGAGATGTTCAGGATAGCTGAACATCCTCAGTTCACCCTGGCCACGTTGGGATTTCTCACTGCTGTGGGAGTGCTTTTTTAGTTTTTAGGGTTTTTCTTTGGTACTGGGAATCGAACTCAGGACCTCTCGCTTGCGGGCAGGTGCTCGTGCCCCTGAGCTGCATCCCCTGCTCCCCAGTTTCCTTCTGATTACACGTGGGAACTCTGGCCAACTCTGTCAGGGTCCTTTCTTTAGCCCTGTCAGTAGGATTTTGAAGAATTTCGTTTGCTTAATCGAACATTACAGGTCAGGATCTGTTACGTATAAACGCATGCCTGCGCACTTTCTCCCTCATTCCTTCCTCTTCTCTTTCCTAAAGATGTGCGATAGCCAGTAAGACGGGGGCTGAGGGTGGAGGGGGTGACTTAGGAGAGAGGGCGGCAGAGGAGAGAGGACGCTGTGTGCGTAGGCAGGAAGTGGGAGGCCCACGCAGCAGGAAGTGGATGCGGGCAGAGCTTTATGAAGACGTATTTGATTTGAAGCAGCGCAATCTGGAGTTGTTTATTATTGAACCTGTGACAATACGTATGTAACATATAAATAGATGCTTTGTAAGATACCCTTTTTACAACTACTTACTAAAACTGGAGTGGAAACAGTTACAGAACTTAAACTTCAAGATGGTCAGTGGGAATATACACATACAATTTGAAAAAAAAATTGGTGTAGCATGTCAGTGTAAATGGTTTAATTTTAAAGGTGTTTCATGTTAGGCCAGATTAGAACACATATTTTATTGGATTGAGTTTTAAATTCCTGCATGTTATTTTCTCCTTACTTCCTTTAAACGTGCTCCTTTGAGGCCATCAAATCACTTTAGTTACAGTAGTTCTCTTACCCACAGTTCCAGCATTTTAAGTGGAAATTCTAGACCTAAACAACCCCTGAGTTTTAAGTTGTGCGCCCTTCCTTCTGAGCAGCACCGTGGTGGGCTGTGCTCCCCTGCTGGGACGGGGCTCGCCCTTCCCCACGCTGTCCACGCGGAGGGTGTGCGTTTCCAGCCCTGGTCACTCAGGCAGTGTCGCAGTGCTGTGGTCGAGCAGCCCCCACATCACTTAGTAGTTACCCCAAGGGGCAGGAGAAAGCACACACAGGCCTCGGTGCTGTCTAGTGTAGCCATCTGCTGGACCGCATCCCAGTTTGCATGTAAGAACGCCCGCAGCAGGTCGGCCACTTCTCTCCAGTACGGTCGGGCCCCTCCAGCTGACATTTTCTCTCCCTCCCGACTGTAGCCGTTACAGGTGGACTCTGCAGCGGTGTACTTCTTTCCAATTTGACGTCACAGACTTTCTTCAGTAAATACAGAAGAGCTAATTTTTAAAATAGCTAGAATATATGCAGTAATATATATGTGATACAGTTCAGTATTTTCTCACTAAAAATCCTTTTTTCTATGATTCCTATTCCAGAGTTCAGTGTGGGAGGTCATGGTAGTGCTCATTCTGTGTGTTCACAGATGTTAGTCCGTCCCCCATTGGACACGAACATGTAGTGATGTCGGAGCAAAGATTTGTGTCACTCTGAAGGGTAGATACGGGCATTTTTTTATTAGTTGGTTTATGTTTGGAATGCATAGTAATTACGTTCATTTTAGGGGCGTGGTACATGTACATGTCATATGTTGATCATTACCGCCCCCACCATCCTCTCCTCTTCCCTTTGTCCAGAGATACTGGCATTTTGATGGTAGTGTATGAGGTTGATGATTTATTTATATACCCATTGATTAGCCATTGGGATTTTCTTGTCTGTAAGTTTTCCTTCCGTATCTAGTGCCTCTTTATGGAGACATTTTTCTTTATTAAGGATGAATTTATCACGTCTTTGTATGAGATGGAGATATTTCTCTTTCTGGTTGTTGAGTTTCTTTTTGTTTTGGTTTGTTTGCTAATACTATTTTTTGCTAAATTGAAATTTAAATGTGCTGTGAGATTTGTGTCTGAAAATAATAAAACCAATTTGATGTTACTGTGACATAGCTAGTGAATATCTTGTACATTACTTAGGCAGAAAATACATAGTATCTTTGTACATTACATGATCACATGGTTGAGATTTTTTTTAAGGTCTTCTGAGATACTGTCATTTAAGAATAATACTTTTATTACATATGGTAGCATTAACTTAATATAAAATTCAAGTTTGCTCTACCGGAATATGTCCTATTTTTCTGTTGATTTAAAAACACTTTACTGGTTTTCAGAAACTTTCGAATGTTAGATTGCTAATTTTCATACATGAGAACTACTTGTTGATGTTATAACCTTTTATTTTTAATTTTTTTTAAAGATAGGCTCTCACTGTATAGTCCAGGCCAGCCTTGACTTTCTATGTAGCCCTGCCTGCCCTTGAGCTAGCAATTCTCCTGCTAGAATTACGAACCTGCATCATGAATTATGAACCTGCATCATGTTCATCATGTCATGAACTTTTGTGTGGTTTTAGACCTTGTGGGTGTTGGATATATGTTTGGTGATTGATCCCAAGGGCAAAGATTGTTTGCTTTGTAGAAATTATTTATGAATTTTGAATTGTCACATTTACTAACCCTTTTATTTTCTAAGTATTATGCTGTAGGTTTAGTTCATTTAATATTAGTGACCAACCTTAATCCTTAAATATCATATCTTCTTTTTTTTAATTTACTTTAAAAATAAAAGAAGGAAAGCATATTAACAGACATCCATTTACAATATAGCATAAGAACAATACAAGTAATACAGAGTTACAGACAAAGTGGTAGGAAATTAACAATGGTTGTTGTATTACGTATTCATATCTTCAAAGTGGTTTCTCAGGAAAACAAATAGAGACATGCAAGATTGATCAAGTAACTAATCATTAACTGTTCCTTTCAGTAAAGAGGTAGAAGTCAGTAGTACAACTATGGTAGCTATCCTGTGTGTACATACATACATCATTTCCCCTTCTTTCTTTTCTCTTTTCCCTCACCCCAGTTGCTCTTTACTTTTGAGCAGTTTCCTTTCATTTCACAATGTCTATTGTACCTCCTAATTTTAATTCGCTCTTTCAGGTTCTTACACTAGTGAGACAATACGTTGCTTACACGTGGAGGTCTGATATATTTCACTCATGAGTATGGTCTCTAGTTGTGACCATTTACCTGTAAAAGTCTCGAGTTTGTCTTTTTTATATAGCTGAGTAATACTCCATTATATAAAAGTACCACAGTTTTTTTTATCCATCCCTCAGTGGATGGACATTTGGGTTGCTTCCACAGTTTAGCAATTACAACTTGTGCTGCTATAAGCATGGGTGCACATCCATCGCTGTGAAATACCATCTTCTCTTGACTTTTTAGTGCAGTTTTATTATTCAAGTTCTTATCAATAGCAAAATAGTGCTTAAAAACTGGATTTTTTAAATGCTTAAATTGTGAAGCCAAGTTACATAGTTTCAGATGTTTGTCCTGCATTTACCGAATATGACTTTAATCCGGTTAAACTCTGTGGTTTAGTTTCCTCATCATAAAGTGGGGATAATTGTTTCCACTTCCAGAAGTGCTGTGAGTATTACCAGAACAGAGGTACCCATGCTCACACACTTTACCGGTCTCCTGCTACCGTCACCTGGGCCTTCCTGTAGTTAGAGCATCTCCAGTTTTTATCCAGTTGTCTTACTAAAAACGAGTTACTTAAATTTGTCCCGAGTCTTCCTGTTTCTTGCAAGGTAAATCCATGATTTATAAGATGGTTTCTAGGCCGGCTGCAGCTGGCTTCAGTCTTATCCTTTCGTCTTCATTTCCAGCTATTCACAGCTTCGATGACCTCCATTTCGATCATCTCAGGCCGTTTCCCTTTCCTAAGACACTTTCTGCAGCACTTCAGATTCAGTGTACAAAGCGCTGGCTGGGTTTACTAAACCTTAGTGGCCTGCGCTTTGCTGACAGGGTTTGCTAAACCTTACAGTGAGCTGCGCCTTCCTCTGCGTCTTTATTCCGCTGCCCTCATGAACACCTGCCTGTCTCATGTGAGCTCTTGGAGATAACCTAAAATTTCTGTTGTAGCTTCTCGTTTCTCTAGTTAATGCATCTCACAGGCTTCCATCTACGTCATGTTTATGTCATTTCCTAAGTCCTAACAGTCAAGAGGAGTATGCAGACCCTTCTCACTTATCCACTCTTCTTACTCTGTGCCACTGGATTCCCTGACATACTATTTCTGACTTCATCTATACCTTTGTTCGTACTTTTTCTTTTGCTTCGTATTTTATTTCCCACATTCTCTGTTGGTAAATTCCTACTTAATTTTAACATTACTTTATTTCTCTTGTTTATGTGTTAGCCCTCTCTCCTTTTCAAGCAAGGATTGTCTACCCATTTGAAATAGTAATTGTCATGAATTACTAGCCTGGGTCCAGCTGAAGATTTGATATTAAAGTGGTACATATATACTCACGTTTGTAACAGTACAATTCATGATAGGTATGAATTGGAATCACAGTTCATAATAGGTATGAATAGGTAATCTGGAAGCGACCTCTGTGTCCATCGACAGATGAATAGACAAAGGAAATGTAGCATTTGTACACAAAGAACTACTACTCCGGCATAAAGGAGGATAAATGTGAGTCATTTGTAAGAAAATGGATGCATCTTGAGATCATAATATTAAGTAAGATACACGAGATAACACAGATTAAATACTACATGGTTTCTCTTACATGAAATATCCAAAATATAAGAAACAAAACAAAAAGTAGATAATTGGAAATAGTACATTAGGTCTTCTGCATAAGGGAAAGGAACCAAGAGGTGGAGGGAGGGGGCGTGGATGGAGAAAGGAGTGTGTTACGTGCA